CGGGTGCGACAACAAAACGTGCGTAAAAGGGTCACCAAAGCGTGTAGCGCTGAGCTGAATGGAAAATATGTAATATGTATATGTAGAATAAAAAAGCACTCAGCACACTCATAATTTCAGATTTTCATTTCATTTTCATTTGGGTTTTTTTTTTTTTGAGGAGAACGAAGCCTTCGCTACCACGCGATTCTTGCATCGCTCTTTTGTCCTCAACAAAAGGATTCACACGAAACAAAGGGATGTCAGCAAGCAAAGAAAGGGTTCTCACATTCAATGTCCCACAACAGGCAACGCATTTTCGACATTTCAGGCAGACCAAATTTGCAATAATTTAATATTGAAACTATCAACGATTTATAGAGGTAGGTATAAGCATTTCCGTTTTCGCCGACCGTTGGCGGGAAAGAGTTAAGAGCGTGCTGGACCGATGCAACATCCTTCCTGCAGCAAAACACTGTTTGATACACTCAAACATTCACGAATATTTACAAACATAGCGCGGCATGAGATCCCCTGGGGTATATGTAGAGTCAAATACATAAATAAATAACAGTGTAATAGTTTTGTGGCAAGTATGTATTACTATTTTTATTTATGTGGCTTTTTTTTCAGTGAGATGTAAAAGCTTAGGACTTGTGTGTTAGTTGTTGTTGCACTTCAGTTCATAAACTGCAAACTTCAGCAAAAGAAGAGAGGTAATTATAGTAACTGCATACAAGCTTACATACATTGCTCCCGATTGAGATCTTCCAACATTTGAGGAATTTTCGCTGTTGAAATTCAAGCTGCTGGAATAGAGGTTCTCAAAAACTTTTATTAAAAGGTGTGTCCATGCTTGTGCATATGTAGATCTAAAGTGAGATCAACTAAAAAAAAATTAAAAATTTTGCATAAATCAAAGCATAGGACTTTGAGGTAATTCAAATATTTTCTTCTGCATGATTATAAACACTAGCGTGGGCCGAAAATCCGTTTTTTAGACTTTTTATTGGTAATAGCTCAAATATGGTTCATTAAACACTAAACACAATCTGTGTGAAAGATGACAATTTTTGGTCGATGTCTTAGGCTCGCCTAAGTCCATCAAAGTTCAAGTGGTAAACAAAATTTTTTCCTTGCTTTCTTCGATTCTCTAGAAAAAAAAGTCCAAGGTCCATATACCAAATTATGTAAGACTAATGCTTTTGAAGATAATTGCAATTTCAGTAAAAAAAAACATATATTAATTAATGTAATTATAAATTTTAATTTTTAGAGCACATTGAACTTTAATGGACTTGGGCGAGCCTAAGATGTTGACCAAAAATTGTTAGCTTTCACACAGATTGTTTTTAGAGCTTAATGAACCATATTTTAGCTATTACCGATCAGAACAGCGGATTTTCGGCCCACGCTAATATACACTAACTAAAAATAGAGTGTCATACCTGTTTCTGTATTAATTGCGTTGAATCTGTTATATTTCCCGATCTGAATTTTGAGTTAACTCCCTTAAGATCAGGCCCGTCGAGAGGGAGGGGGAAACGGGGGTATTCACCCGGGCCCGGCTTTTTGAGGGGCCTGAAATATCAGAACCATAAATTGTTATTGCTTTTTTTTTTAGAATATACTGCTCCGATTCGTGCTAATTGTTTCTGACTCTATATATTAAAGAAAATGATCACATGCTTTTGAATTAATACAATTTATGTATA